AATTAATTTACAAATAAAAAATTACAAATTACACCCATTATAAAAAATACTTTTAATCCTCCCAATCAAGTTATTAAACCTGCTATACTCAATTTAACTAATGTTACTCTGGATAAATCAACAACTGAGCTACTCAATTTAGGTCCAAATTTTGTACCACTGCCGAAAAAAATTCCTTATATGGATATTATAACTAATATCAAAACTTGCGCTTTACAACTTGAAAAACTTAAAAAACCAACACAGGCAGAAACTCTACGACAAAACTGTTCGCAAATTTTAACAAACTCGCTAAAATTAAGATTAAAAGATAATTTAACTAAGCAACAACGTCTTTCCATAAACAAATTAAAAAACAATTCTAACATTAAGATATACCCTTTCGATAAAGGCACAGGCTTCGCATTATTAAATCAAAAAGATGCATCTCTCAAATTAGAAGAAAAAATAAAAAATAGCAAAATTATTGATTATGATCCAACATCCACATTGACTACTAAATTTCAAAGTCAATTGTGCAAATTAAGAAAAGAAGGTAAACTAGACACAAATACATACTTTAAAATCTAGATTGTAACCCACCAAGGATTTACGGAATGATTAAAGCTCACAAACCAGAAAAAGATTACCCAATGCGCCCTGTTGTATCAACAATTAACACACCACCTTATGGAACATCTGATTATCTTGTTAAAATTATTCAACCGACTCTGAACAAAAATAAAAATAGACTTATGAATTCTAATAGTTTTGTGAATGAAGCTAAGCAATGGATAATAGATCCTAAAGAAGTTCAAGTTTCATTTGATATAGTCAATTTATATCCATCCATACCGATTGACGAAGCAATTCTGGTTATTATTGATATATTGAACGCTGATATTGATGACTTAAAAACTCGAACTAAACTTACTCTTGCAGACATACATCAATTAATTGAACTTTCATTAAGTATATGCTATTTTTTATATGAAAACAATATCCAAATAATACCTAATCCAGGTCCTATAGGTTTATCTTTAATGGTTGTTATGGCGGAAGCGTTTTTACAAAATATAGAAAGAAAAGCCCTTAACACAGCAATTATTCATACATCCGAACCAAAAACTTACAAGAGATATGTAGATGATTGTCATGCTTGCTTTGCTTCAATAAAACAACAAAAAATGTTCCTGAACATCCTTAATGAACAACATCCTGCCATAAAATACACAGTGGAACTTGAAAACAACCTCAAACAACTCAATTTCCTAGATATTAACATTACAAACACAGGCTCTGGAACTTATGAATTTCAAATACATAGAAAAGAAGCTATTACAAATGTTCAACTTAAACCAAACTCGAACAATAATCCTAACATTGTTATTGGCGTTTTCAAAGGATTTTTATGTTGTGCTAAAAGAATATGCTCTCAAAAACACCTTCAAAAAGAAATCGATTTTCTAATAGACATCTTTGTTGAAAATGGCCACGACAAGAACATTCTAAATAATATTACTATAGACTATTTAAAAAACGGTTCAAAAACTACCTTGGATACCAATTGTTGGTCCAAAACTTCGTAAAGAATTTCGAAAGCAAAACATAAAGGTTATTTTCACATCAACTCCCAATTTAAAAAATATTTTCTGCAACAATAAAACTAAACTACCACTAAACACAGACCCTGGTGTATACCAGCTAAAATGTTCATGCGGTTCAATATAAATTGGCGAAACTAAAAAGAAGGTGATATCAAGATGTATTAAACACCAAAAAAACAGCTTAAAAGGAAAATGGCCCAGGTCGAGTGCAACTGAGCATTCTAAAACATGCCATGGTAAGTTTGATTGGTTGCCCCCCAAAACATTATCTGTAGCCCCAGAATATCGAACTCGGAAAATCAGAGAGTCACTCGAAATAAGCAAGGCTAGAAATTGGAGTTGAGAAATGGTGACGTGGTTCTCAATCGGGATGACGGTGATAACGTAACAACCAAAACCTTGGGGCCATTTTTTAATAAAATCTGGTGACGTCAGTTGTTTGAAAAGTTTTTTTTTTTCTGTATTATATTATGGCTTTTTAATGTTATCTTTTTAACGTTTGTTTTTACTATAACGATTTTGTAACTATTTTGTTTATTATACCTGATGACGCTGATCACAATAGATCAGCGAAATATCGAAATAATTATATATTAAAAAAATATATATATATATATTTAAAAAAAATCTATACGCAATCGTATTTATTGAATTCTAACCATATTATAATGTATAACAAGAAAATGACATTCAAAGATTATATATATATATATATATATATATATATATATATATATATATATATATATATATATATATATATATATATATATATATATATATATATATATATATATATATATATATATATATATATATATGTATATATATATATATATATATATATATATATATATATTATATATCTATCTATATATATATATATATATATATATATATATATATATATATAT